AGAACTATGAAAAGTACTACTGGAACTGTAATTGTTTTTTTTTTATATTAGAATGTTGTGCTAACTTCACAGATCCTATCGCGATGGATTCTTTAAAATTTTTAGTAATCTTAGTAATTAATACAGAATGATCGCAAATATCTTCAAGTCCTAATATATTTAAAATTGTAAAATATTATTAAGTAAATATCTACAATATTTTTATATCTATATTGCAAAAAAATTAGTGTAAAATTACAACTATTATAATGAGCAATTTTGGGAGGAGTTATTATAGGTGTGCAAATTTCCACACGTATGTAAATTCACAGTTTGTAAGTAAAATTAATTTCCAGTGTTGTACAAGCAGATTTCATTGTATGGAAATGCAACGCCTACAATAATTGGTCCAAAAATTGTCCACTATATAATCATTGCATTGTACACTATTTTTTTACAATATGTTGTGTTGTGCATACGTTTTAAATTAAAATAATATATTCTAGACTCCGATTCAGAATTTCGAGATATAAATATTTCAATAATCAACAAGCCAGAAACGTCACAGAATCCGATTTAAAATCCGGAGAGGCAGCGATCTAAAATTTAAATGTTGAAAAATATAAAATGAAAAAAAAAGGATGTAAAGATCCACGGGTTTAAGAAATCTAGTGTTCAAACAATCTAAACAGTACTTCTTAGACGCTAGTTAAATATCCAGAAAAACGGGTGATTAAGTATGCAAAAAATTCCGAACATCCTGCGAACCTTTGCACGATACATGTAAGAGCGATCCGGTAATTACAGGAAGCGATGAGACTCGCTCGTAATAGGATCTAATAGGAGCCTCGTTCGAGGAGAGCTCTTCCCGCGGAATCGAAGGAAGCGTTTTGCGTGGATCGCGGCCATTCGCGGGTGTTCCACCGTTCTTCCTCGTGCGATCTCACGTCGCCGACGTACCGCGATCAAGATCGTCTTCGCGCGTACGGGATGGGATGGGTTTCTCAGTCATCCATGCGTGCCTCGTCCGCGTGCGTACTCGAATGCACACGGGTGGATCTCGTATCCAGCACGGGGATCGGGTGGGTGCCCTCCCCCGGCGCGATATATCAGCGTCTTACCGTGCGAGCGTTTCTTCTCACGGCGGAGAGAGGCGCAAAAATTCACGTTCCACGCGCGTGTGTGTGTGTGTGCACGTACGCACATTCGCCCACACGCATTAAATTGCACGCGAGTAGAATCGGAGCGAAACGCCAGACGCGGTAGATCGCGATGTCGCGATGCCCCGAAATTATACTCGTTAAAGAAACGCGCTGATGCGATCGCTCTTGAATTACCCGAAGCGTGACTTCTTTTTCCGGGACGCAATATTGGGCATGAGAGGGCAACTCTGTAATATAACAGAGAAGGGAAAGAAAGAGAGGGCAGGAGAATTTGAGAAATTAAAAGGCAACTTTTTTTCATCAGAATAAAATACAATTACAACAGTGATATAATAAAATTGTATTGTTACCAAAAATTAATATTACAAATATTCGAATAACGGTCTCTTTAACTCGTATTATACATTGCGATATATAAAAAGTAAAAAAAATTTAATGTAGGAATTACTCGCCGATTTAATCTTGCGCCAAGACGATCTTGGTATTCAATTCAATCTCGGAGTCTCAATTTTTGGACTTTTTGCTTGCCACTTTATTGTTCCTCTCATTAGCTGGTTTATGGAAAAAGTCGCGTGATGGTCCGGTGTAAACTGTCTAATGGATAGCGGAGGCTAGCATGCAGTAATAGAGTGCGTGGAGCTCGTTTCACCGGAAAAGGACGAGGAAATTCCGGAGTCGGTGGAGTCGTAGAGCAGGTAGATGCGCAGATGATCGTTAATGACCGCCTTGTATAAATAAAGAAAGCAAAAAGGGTGCAGGAATGCACAAGATAATTTCCTCTTGTTTCTTTCGCGCACGTCCGCGGTATTGCGAAGTAATTTTCACTGTTAGAAGTTTAGAGACCGATAAAACGTGATTAGTGCCTTTTTTTTCGTGCACTTGAATTGTAATACTTTCTGAGTGAACCCGTCGTCGGTTTGGTCCACGATAGCGTACATATTTCAATAAGAACTAAAAGAAAATATCTTTAATCAATGTATTATGATAAGAGCAACTAATGTTCACGAATCAAAAGGCAAGATAAATTTTTTATTTACATTAACTATCACTATTTTATTTCGATTAAATTATTTTATATGAAATCATGATTTTAGAGGGGTTCGCATATTTACGCGATGATTCGCAGAGGATCGGACATTTTTTTTGTATATCTTATCGAGTGAAGATAGTGGATGACCGCTCTTCATCCTTTTAACCATCGTCAATGAATTATTTGACCCTCACCTTCTTCACTTTCGAGCCTCTTACAAGGTTTCCATTTCTGGAGTGTATCTAGCGAGATTGTACGTCGCAAAGACGGCTGTAAAACCCGAAAGTTTCAAAGGAGATCTCAACCAAGTTGGAAATTCCTCGGATAACTAACCGAACGATTGGTATCTTCCCCGAAAATATTCATTCGCTAACAGAGATATAAATACACGTAGTTCGTTCTCAGAGAAGGTAGAACCTGTTTTAATTGAGTCTTTTCATAGAGAGAGACGCCGTTTAATTTTTATTAATTAAATTTCTGTACGGACATCATAGAAAATTTATTGGATCAATTTGATTTAATGATATACCACATTTTATAATTATTTTTTACACATATCAGAAATATCAATAAGATATTATTAATAGATTATTTATAATTATATTTATAATTATATTTATATTTATAATTATATTTATAATTATATTTATAATTATATTATTAATAGATGTAAACTTTTTGTGCTATAAAATAATAGAAATTTAAATAGCTTAACATGTTCTTCGAAAATGCAGAATATAACAATATTTTCCTCTGAAATCTGAAAGATTTTTTATATCAAATCTTCTGGCAATTACATATTTATATCGCGAACTGTAGAAGAGAAGTGCTATATTATTGACGTAATGTGTACTGCATTTTTAATAGTGAAAATTCTAGACTTTTTTTATCGGCGGCAAGCAGACAAATCGTGGGCGGAAGTCTGATAAAAATAAAGCAACTCTTGTATGCATAATAATCCAAATGTAGGTGACGGGTTAACGGCTTCTTTCTAAACAATATACTGTGCGAACTGATAAGTGCAACGATCGATCGAGGCACACGCTATTTTTGTCTTGCGCTATCACGAAACCTTATAGCCCTGTGCTTCTATGCCTAAGCTCATGAAAGAATAACTAACTGCAGCTTGAATGTAGGCGAGTGGGAAATCGTGTGCAATACTTAGAAGTAAATCTAAATATTTTCTCGTAATATTTTATAAAAGGAACAGAAGTTAACGCTTGAAATAGCATAATTTAATTCAGCATTCAATTATTTTAATAAGTATGTCGATAGAATATTATGTCCAAAAATT